TTCTCCTTGGCGGGGTCGTCTCCCGTGGGCTGCGGCTGGGCCTTCTCCTTGGCAGGGCCGTCTCCCGTGGACTGCAGCTTTAACTTGCCAGACTGTTCTTGTGTTCGGATCACTGAAATAGAGAAACCAGTTGGTACTGAAGAAAGGATGGCCAGGAGAAGGGAGCCCTCAGAGCTAGAAGAGACCGAGGCAACAAGCGAACGGGGGAGGTGAGTGATGGCAAGCGGAGGGGTGGCTATGGCAGGGAAGAAACGAGTTCAGAGAGAGACCCGGCCGCGGTGACGACGGTGGGCCTGAGGGTGACAGTAGGATTACTGGGGGTGGGGAGGGGTCTTACCCGCCGCTGCGACGCTCAGCAAGACCAACGCAACCAGGAACCGCATCCTGCACTGATTGTGCTTCCGCCCCCCACTGTTCTCGCGAGATCCGTCCGCGCACTCTTAGTGTTCATAGCTCCGCCCCTTCCTGTGCGCGTCTTTCCGCCGCACGCCCAGGCGAGGGGAGGGGCTTAGGAAAGGGCCGGATTGGACGGTGTTTCCGCACTTTCGTTTCGGCTGGGGCTGAGTAGCTCAGTTCGGGCGTCAAACGGTTTCTTTCTTTTCCAGGTTTCTTCGCTGCGTAGCCGCCGCCACAAACGTCACTCCATTTTACCTTCTTTTCCCTTGTACTTCCGAGACAGTCTTGGCAGAGCCAGAGCTCCCTGACCGGCGGATGGCCCCACGGGACTGAGGTCGCTTCGACCCGGCTCCTCGGCTCCATCCTCTTTTCACATTTTTAACTTTCTCCCTTTCTCGTTGTTCTTTGCTCGTAGCTCACAAACGTGTTGCGCTCAGGTCTCTCCGATCTGTAAAAAAAAAACTCATCCCGTCATCTTTGTAGCGGGAGCCTTCCCATTCCAGCTTCTCTTTCCCGACCCCAGGGGGACTGCCCTCCGAGGTCCCCAAAGATCTTCTCTAAAAAGTACATCCTTTTTCTGGTCATGAAAGTTATTCATATTCACGTATAAGATTTGGTGAACGTATTTATAGAAATAGAAAACAAAATCTTTATCCCACTCTTCCGGGATAATCACTATTAAAGTTTTAGTGCGTTTTCTGTCTTGCAAACATTTTAATATTTTTGATTTGGTAATACATCCTAGTGGTTCAGAAGTCAAAGTGAGATTTTTTTTTTTAAAGTATACATCAGAAAGTTCTTGCTCCCTACCATTCTACAGGTTACCACTTAGTTTATTGGGAGACGTCTCCCACGGGAGACGACCCCGCCAAGGAGAAATCCCAGTTTATTATTAAAAAATAATTTATTTTATTTATTTATTTGAGAGAGAGAGAAGTGGCTCAGTCGGTTAAGCGGCTGCCTTCGGCTCAGGTCATGATCCTGGAGTCCCGGGATCGAGTCCCGCATCGGGCTCCCTGCTCAGCGGGGGGTCTG